TTCAAACTATTTTAGCTCATAAAAAATTGTGATAGTATGTAGCTCAATTGATTCATAAGAAATTTATTTTTAAAAAGACATAACAAAGAAATATAATTGTTTATTAGGTACTAAAATTATAAAAATACAAATAAAGCAGGAAAAATTTAGTAGAAATTTAAGGGTTAAGTTGCGATCGGTGTTATAGTCCATTTCGATCCAAGTAACTTTTAAACGGAATCAATAATCCAACTATTTATCAATTCAATCAATTTTAACCTGCTCAAATTCAGTTTAACTTGTTTATCTGACACCTCTCCATATAACTTGGAAATAGAGGAAGTAATTAAGTTTTACATATTTTGTAAAAAAAATATTAATGAGAAAAACAAAACAGACAACATTAAAAGGAACATGTATAAGTGTACTAAAACCTGCTGGATATATATGATTGATGTTGAAGTAGTAAGAACGTGTTGCCGACAACAAAATAAATAAACCACCCACCAATACAAAGATTAAAAAAAATAAAATCTGAGATCTGAGATTTTTTTTAAAAGTACTCATTAATTATTCGAGAAGTCTGGATTATACTTCTTATAATTAGCTTTATATTTAATATGTTATTCGAAATTGACTTTACACATATTAATTTTCTATTTACAAATTAGAAATAGTAAGCTTAATTTAATAAGAAGTAAGTAATTAAGAGATTGCCAGCTATAAATTATAAATTGTCAAAGTCCTACTTAAGAAACAATAACACAGAAATAGTCATTAGTTTGGGTTGCCAATTATAATTTCATCCACTAATTAATTACTTAAAATAGCAATTAGCATCAAATCAATGCTCTGTGCATGTTAACATATTTTCTTATTAAAGAAAATTCATAATCGTCGTCTACTACTTATGAATTAAGCTAAATAATTTGGGTTATTCTCATCCTCCTTAATTAATTATTAATATTATTTCTTAAATATTTAGTATAAAAATTGAATTTTGATAGTACCCAAAGGCCAAAGGTGCTCCCCTCTTCTTTAATTTTTTTTACTTTCTTTAATGTTTTGCAATGATTTATTTTTTTTAATTTCCGACTGACGCGGAATTTAGCGTGTTGGATTCTTTAAAAAATTAGCTCAAATAAGTGAAAAGACTTGCTCTTTTTTATTTATTTTATGTTTTTTCAATTGGTGAAATTTTTGTATTTTTGGTTCAGAAGTGACGAAGCTTGTGTTTGACAAGCTGGCATTTTTATTTTTACTTTAAATTGCAGATCTACCACACACTCCCTTTACCAGATCTTATAATGATGAAGTGATAAATACTTATTCATTTGTAATAAGAGGCATTAAAATCAAGTTTTTTTGGATATGAAATCGTCTTTGATAGGGAAAGATTTTACTCCCCAATGTGGGACTTACTGACATGAATCTAAATTTAGTTGAACTTAAATGCGAGTACTAGAAAACTGAATAAGAAATTTTAAAAAAAAATCTTATGACCCCATACTTTTTAAAGAGTACCATTTATTTTTACCTTATTTCTACTAAAAAAAATTCCACATGTGTCTTATTTTTTTTTTGAGAAACTTTTTAATTAAATAAGGAGATTTGGAGAGAAAATTGAAGAAAGAATATGAGAATCGAACTCATATTATCGTATGAAAACACTCTTGTATGTACAACTAGAATAGAATTCACAATGAGAGGTTTTAGTATGTACCATTAAGGTGTTTATGGTACGATTCTGTATTTGACTTAAATAGTTCATGTAATATACCTAAAGTAAAAACTCTAGAACTCAACAAATTTAATAGATTAGAATTCAAAATCTATAAATTTCAAATCTTGAATCGATCTCTGATTCTAGCTATCATATGTAATTGCTTAGACGACTTTGTAATATTATTAGTGAATTACGTAATCATATGGTGACTATATTGATTATTCAATCGTATGTTTAACAAGTAGGGATGAAGGTAGAAACACTAAAATAACCAAAACACCTACTTACTACAATAACTTGCAATTTTTGCGTATCCAAAAGTCACCAAATCAAAATATACTAATAACTAAACTTTTTAAAAAAAAATTCCAATCGAATCAGACTTTTAAGTAATATAGTTGTTAGTAGTAAGTAGTAGTAACAAACAAAAACAGGTTTGTTGAGATAGTAGACTTTAGGGTGTGTTTGGTAGGAACGAAAATGTTTTCCTAGAAAATGTTTTTTCTGGAAAACAAGTAGATTTTTGACTTATTTTCTCATGTTTGGTTGATGACTAGAAAATATTTTCCGAAAAAGATTTTTTAGTGTTTGATTTATGAATGAAAATTATTTTTGAGAAAATATCTTTTATTTTTTTCTAGAGAGTAGAAAATAATTTTTGAATTGAAATTGAAAATATTTTCTTAAAATAAACTTAAGGTTTTTGGGAAGGGTGGGATGGTGGGGCTGGCGCAGAGGGGGGGGGGTGAGATAGGGTAAAAAAAAAAATTGAAATTAAAAATATTTTTTAAAAACAAACATAATTTTATTTTTTTTGGAGGGGAGGTCACGGGTGGGGTGGGGGGGTAGGGGTGAGATGGGGTAAAAAATATAAAAAAAATTGAAATTAAAAATATTTTTTAAAAACAAACTTAATTTTTTGGGGGGTAGGGGTGTCGCGGGTAGGGTGGGGTAAAAAAATAAAAAATTGTAATTGGAAATATTTTTTAAAAAACAAACCTTAAATTTTATTTTATTTTTTTGGGAAGGGGGTGGTAGTGGGGCTGGCCGGGGAGGGGGGGGTGTTGAGGGTAGGGACGGGGTAGGGTGAATTTTTTTTTTTTAAAATTGGAAATAATTTTTAAAAACAAACTTAAATTATTATTTTTTGGGGGGTTGAGGATAGGGATGGGGTAGGGTGAAAATAAAATTTTGAAATTGGAAATAATTTTTAAAAACAAACTTAAATTATTATTTTTGGGGGTTGGGGTGGGGGGGGGAGGGTTGAGGGTAGGGCTAAAATAAAATTGTGAAATTGAAAATAATTTTTAAAACAAACTTTCAATTTTTATTTTTATTTTTTTTGGGGGGGGGGTGTAGGGGGGCTGACGGGAGGGGATCGGGGTAAGGGTGGGGTAAAAAAATAAAAAAATTGAAGTTGAAAAATATATTTAAAAAAAACTTTAAATTTATTTTTTCAACAAAAAAATTGTATTGAAGTTGGAGGAAAGTTTTGGAAAATGTTTTCCTTACTTTTTGAAGGGGAGTCATTTTCCTTGAATTTGAGGAAAATGAGTTGATTTTCCAAAACATTTTACCCAATCAAACATGAGAAATCCTTCGTACCAAACACACTCTTAGTGTATTTGGCACTTTTTTTTTTCTTGGAACTTATTTTAAGAAGAGGCAGCGTATGAAAATATTTTAATTTCTTTAATTGTTTTATAGGGCATCTTTTCAGTGCTTAATCTTTATTATTATTCTGAGCATTTTTGTTTTATTGAGTCATTTATATACCAGTTTTTTCTCATGTATTTGTTTGTCCTAGATTCTACAGTTTTGGCCTCAATTATTTCGACTCTTTACATACATGAACAGTCTAATAGATCTTAACAACAAAAAATAAATTTAATTTTTGCTCTTTTTACAAATTTAAGTTAGTATGTGATGTATAATTAATTAATATACACACGATTATACTCTTGTTATATGATGAATATAGACCCGCGATGAATACAAATTATTTCTGTCAATTAAGCAAAATATCTTAATCAACTGACTAAAAATATTAAAATGATATTAATTCAATTCGCTTCAATAATTGATCGTAATCATGGATCACATAAATATTCAACCAGATTTAAAGGGTATCTTTCATATTTCCTTTTTCATTTTTTGACAATTAATTGAAAAACAAAAAGATTGGTCCAATTTGATTCTAATTTGATAGGAGGGCCAAGGAAGAATAATAATAATTTAATCAGAGAAATGATTAGTACTTAAATTAGTGACCACTTTTGCTACTACATCAGTCATGTTTTCAAGAATTTAGTTTTAACTTACTAAAGTGTATCCTTCTTTCAAAAAAGCTGTATAACTTTCCTCTCATTGGAGTTAAAAACAAATAAATAGTAAAATCGAGTAAGGGACTCTATATATATCCAAATGTACTGAAAAGTCATTTGAATAATATATAGATCTATCTTCTTTTCTCATCAAGTAATCAACTATTCGAGTAAGCCTCGCTAAATATATAAACTTATATTCAATTTATAAAAAATAATTTTTTTATCTCAATTTATGTGATTTTTAGGAAATCTTTGTTTACATAAATGTTACCTTTTGGGAGGCCTATGTCTAAACAATGTTTATGTGAGACTGTCCCTTGGTCCGTAGGTCCTGACGCACGGTTAGAATCATTCCTAATATCCAGTCATATAGTGTTATATAAATTGAGTTGATTAGAATAAACAAAAGACACCGCAAAAAAAAAAAAAAAAAAGTAGAGTAGGTAGAGAAGTTATGATGAGTGAATGTGGTTCAAATAAAATCATCCGCGTCAACACTCAAGAATACGGACAACCAAAACGTGAAACTGCTGGGACGTATAATTAGTGATGTGTACTAGTTGGTGAGACTGAGATTTTTATTTTTAATTTTTTTCATCCAATGTTTTAGAATTTATTTTTGAGTCCTGATTAAATTCGAATGGTAAATTGTAGAATCTATTTGAGAGTTACGCTCTTAACATAATTTTCTTCATATCCAAGAATCAAACTCGAGGTGAAACGGTCTCACTACTAATTACTAAACCACAATTAATGTTATTGAGACTGAGAAATTAATAGTTACTACTGTATTACCCGTTTATTGGTGGTGGATAAGATTATACTTATTGACGTGTATGTATGTAGGATTTTGATATGTACAATCCCCCCCCCCCCCACTACCCCACCCTTGTTTCAAAAAAATCTAAAAACCCCCTAAGCTTCTCTTTTTGGTTATAAATATCTGTGCTTTGGCAATAGAAAGTTGCACACATAAAAGAGTAGTCTTCCATATAGCTTAAGCTAATTTCAAGATTATCATAACATTTAGTGTGTATTCAATAATGGGAAGAGAAATTGTGAAAGCAGAATCAGTTGAGGAGACAAACTTTAACTGGTCATCAGATTCATCATCCTCAACATCCTCTTATGATGAAGAAAACAGGATGCCTTTGTTGGCATTGAATCATGTTTCCTATGTCTGCAAATCTGTTCCTAAATCTGCCCAATTTTATGAACAAGTCCTTGGTTTTGTACTCATCAAACGACCATCATCCTTTGACTTTGATGGTGCTTGGTAAATATACACACACACATTCTATCGCTAATTTGTTATTAATTAATTTTACATCTATTTTGACCTGATATTTTGGGTTTATGTTTTTCAGGTTATTCAACCATGGAATTGGAATCCATTTATTAGGAAAAGAAGATGTGCAATCAAAGAGTGGAAAAATAAATCCAAAAGATAATCACATTTCATTTCAATGTACAGATATGGATCTTATTATTCAGAGATTGAATGATATGAATGTAGAATATGTAACTGCTACTGTTAAAGAAGGCGGAGTTACAGTAGATCAACTTTTCTTTCATGACCCAGATGGCAACATGATTGAAATTTGCAATTGCCAAAATTTACCTGTTCTTCCACTTTCCTCTTGCCCACTCAAAAAGATGTCAAGTCCAACTTTCAACCAAACAATGTCAGATTCCTTTTATGGTACGTACATGATATTTACATCAAATTAATAAATATAATTGTGATATACGTGTTTATTATTATGTAAATATAGTTAATTAATATGTTTACCGGATTTGTAAATGCAGGAAATGGAAAAACAAAGACAAAGATGAATTGTGCTGGAGAAGTTGAATCTCTTATGATGGAAAATTTAGCTTTGGATATGATAGACATTTCTTTTTGAGTGATCTATGTGGAAGAAAAAAAAAGAGTGATTTTTGCTCATTATTAGCCCCCTTTTTTTTACCAACCCAAATATACCATAAAAATTCCTTTTTGTAATATTATTATTATTATGTATTAGTATGTGTAGAGAGGTGTGATGAAGAGCATGTATTATTATAAATATAATGTAAAATTGAGATTATGTTAATGCATGATTGTTGCTACCCATGTCAAAAAATAAATGATACAAGGCATGTTATGTGCTCTAAAAAAGTCAAATCTTTTTATTAATTGCATTGTAAATATTTTCCTATAAATGTAGCGCGTAGAATTAGTAATACTTCGATTTCAATTAATATAGTTGTGCTTGATTGAGTAAGAAAATTTTAAACATAATACAAAGATTTTGGATACATAATAAAGTTAAGTATATAAACATACTAAAAATAAGCTATAAGAACGAACCAGCTTAGCTGCAATCGAGCTGGCATTTAAATGGAAAAAATATATATCTAAAAATAGAACAATGATTTGCTTTAGAAGTAGAAAGCTTAGGAAAGAAGAAGAGAATTTAGGCTCAGTTTTGGAATGGAAAAAAAAGAACTCGGGTCGTTTGGTGTGAAAAATAAAAATAAATAGTTATGAATAAGAAAATAATTTAGAAATAAAATGTTAGTATCTTTTATTTTTGTTGTCAAGTTTGGAATAACTTGTTCCTAACTAAACGACTCCTTAGTACTAAGCGTTTATTCTTTTAATTGATTTAATGCATTGCATATTTAAATCAATCTATGTCCAAAACAAATATTTCAACTGACGGAGGAAAAAAAATAGGATTAAAACTTTGGTAAGGAGTGGATAAGTGATTGGTGCTGTGACATTTCAATTTTATTTTTGCGATGTTTTTATGACGCACATAAGTAAACATGTTTTTCTTTTATTTTTCCTATCAAATAATCTATTAAAAATCTTTTATTTTTCCTATCAAATAATGTATTAAAAATCTTTTATTTTTCCTATCAAATAATGTATTAAAAATCTTTTATTTTTCCTATCAAATAATCTATTGAAAATAACGAAGCAGTGAATAAAGTTATTTCTTATTAGAGATTTTGTTTTTATGTCTTGATTTGAAAAAAAAGATATTGATAAGAAACACTATCTATCCCGAATGGATTTTATCCGATATAAATTTAAATTAGATTTTTATATAAATATTAAATATTGGATAAAAAATTCAAAGTTACCAATAATTTTAAAAAAAAATTTGCGGAAAGAAAACATATTCACGCGCATTATAATATATGTGTGATGAATGAAAATGTTTCTTCCTTAATTAAAATTTTAATTTTAAATCCTAAATATTTAAAAATTATTTCTTAAAATAGAAAATGCTATCCCAAAATGAGCTCTATTTGATAAATATTTAAATTAATCAGACTTTAATATATGTATCAAATATGAACACGTTTCACATTTTCCTTTTCTGTTATAATTGTTGTGAAACAAAGAGTACGGACCAATAGTGGGTTGTGGACTGTGGACTGTGGGAGAGCGGTATGTTCTCCCTTCATTTTTAATTAGAAGTTTGGGTTCGAGTTCTTTTGAATGTGGAATCGTCTTTGTTAGCCGTTAGGGAGCGCATTACCCCATTAAGGACTTTTCGGCGCGAATCCAGTCTAATCGGACTCGAATATAAATATCAAATATAAATATCGCAACTTGCGTTTGGAGAATGGAACCCATCAAGCACGTGATTCATCAATAAATTTTTGACAGCTCACTTGTACTACAATTATTATGTCACCACCACTAATGGTGAAAACAGAAAAACAAATTCTAATTTCGAATCTTATGGATTCAAAAATAGCGGAATTGTGTAGAAGTCGAACATGCTACACAAATAAAGATATGTAAAACCAACATGACTTGTGGTGCACTGGTGAAAGTGCTTCATTCTTAATCAGAGGTTTCGAGTTCGAGCCTTGGGATGAAGAAAATCATGTTGGGAGCGCCATCCCCGAATGGGCCTTGCAGTGCGTGATCCGAATTTAGTCGGAGCTCCAATGTGGACTCAGGACATCGGGTGGAAAACCAAAAAAAAAAAGAAAAAGATACATTAAGTATATAAAAATGTTATTTAATTTTATGATCTAAAATATGAAATTGAAAATATTATTTATCTATTTATTTGTTTGAAAAGTAGATAAAAAAGCATTTTAAAATTATTTTTACATAATTAAAGCAAACATAATGGAGGTTGAGGTTAGAACCATAGGGGATGGTGGTTGTGTAGGGATGGGGCTAGGAGAAGTTAATTTGTATTTCACTTATCAAAATTTATTATACCCAACTCAATTAAAGAGGTTATTCTTTTCGTATTATGATTTATCTTTTAAAAGAAAAATTAACTAATTGAGCATGAGAAATTTAAAAAAATAAATATATTTTCCTTCATATCAAACATACCCACAATGTTGCATCTACATAGATACATGTAAAAATCAGTATGTGACTTAAATCCTATTTAAATGGATTTATTTTAGATATTTGTCAATCAAAATAGTTTTAAAACTTTTTGATCGTGTTTAAATAAGATTTAAAAGTGCTTCTAACACTTATTTTAATGTCAAAAATAATAATTTAAAAAATTATATACATTATAAATCATAAGTTATAAATTTATTCAAACCGAAAAGATGAAGTGATAAAGTGTTTGATATGTCATGAGTGCTAGTGGACAAAGAGTCAATGTTGTATTTATTATGGCAATAAAGATGAGTACACTATATCACTTACTACTCCATAAATGAGTCCTAAATATTCCTTCCTTCTGACAATACTTGTCGATTATTGATTTAACATATCTTTTAAAAATTTATAAATAAAAGGATAATTTTATTACTATATAACTATTTGAATGAGAGTATCCAATAAAGGTGAAAAAAATATCTACACTCTTGATCAACAAGTCATCAATCGTATTTAAGTGACTCCATCACCAATATGGTTATTGTTATCTAATTGAAATTTTCTAAAATTATTATTTAGTAGATATTATTAAAGTGGGTAGGTAATATGGAAATACTAATTTAGGAAGGAAAATTAGTATTTCCGTGATTTTAATTAGGAGGGAAATATTAACTTTAAGATGGATAAAGGTGTTATATTTTTATAAATCAAATTTGATATATGTATTCTAAACCTATAAATAAAAATTTAAGGACAATATTTTTGAAGATATTTATATGTAAATGTCTCTTTTACAGAAAAGTAATGAATAGCAAATTGTAACAAAAAGTAAAGACAAAGGCCTAATTAATAGTGACATATTGGGTACAACTTATAATTGACTTTATGATATATTTGATTTATATGGGAAGAACATGACGATATTAGGTCTGCCTTTAATTATACATATGTTGTTATTGTTGAAGAGATTAGAAGCAATACATATTGGTATTGAACATTCAATTTTTCATACTATTTTATTGTTATAAAACGAAAATTGATAATTCAACCACTAATCTCTTATTGGTACTTTTTCTTTTAATTAAATAAGGACAATTGATATACAACAATTAATGACTTTGTTGGTCACTAGGAAGGTATCTATCTGTACCCCCTCCTAATGCAGGGACCTACTTTACACATTGTTCAGATCTGGACTATGAATCATAATCTAAAATGTCCATCAACCTATTTTAAAATCATTTTTAATTATAATAGATTGAAATTGAGAACTAATAAATAAAATATATAGTATATTGAATGAGAGAGCCCACTCAATTTGTAAGCACATTAATATTTCTTTTTAAGAAGTAAAAATAAAAAATCAATTAGCAACAATTGACATGCAACATCATTTACTTGGAAGTATTTGATATGAGTAAAATATATATTATTATTTTTATAAAAATACTTCTTGGAAAATAGTTATCTTTATTAATTTGATAAGCACAGAAGTGATCAATCAAATGAATAGTGCTCTTACTTCTCAATTCCCATATTTATTTTATTGGGTGGGTTGTGTGTTAAGCATGGGACCCACAAACATTTTTTTTTTTTTTATATATATGACCCTACATTATTTTTACTGTCAGAAATAATTCAATATATATTATTTTTATAAAAATACTTCTTGGAAAATAGTTATCTTTATTATTTTGATAAGCACAGAAGTGATCAACAAATGAATAGTGCTCTTACTTCTCAATTCCCATACTTATTTTTTTGGGTGGGGGGTGGTGGGTTGTGTGTTAAGCATGGGACCCACAAACATGTTTTTATTTTATTTTATATATATATGACCCTGCATTATTTTTACTGTCAGAAATAATTCAATTCTTCTTCTTAACTTGGACCTTAGTTTGTGTTTTGTATTTCTTCTGTAAATTATTTTGTTTCTAATAGTAGTAGTAAAGTCATACTAAATGGATGCCAGTCTACTAGAAAAAAAGAAAAAAACAGTACTGAAAATAATTTTCTATGAAATCAAGTTTTACGAGTGACATTTCACATTGATTGCCCTATTCACGCTTCAACACCTCAATTTTTACCCACACCCTTTACCTCCCCTACCAATCTTTTGTAATATTTGTCTAAATTATATAAAATACTTTTAACTTATTTACGAGACACAAAAAATAAGTAATTTCATTTCCTTTTTTCTTTTTGTTTATTAAAGAAAAAAAAAAGAAGACGAAAATGAATAATAGAGGAAAATAAATGAAGCTGAAAAGAAGGAAGACTGGAAGGGAAAATAACAAATAAGAGAAGCATAGACATTATATTGATAAGTAAAAGGTGCAGTTTGATGCGAAGAAGTGGATGAGACTGTTCCTCTCTTAATCAAATATCTCAAGTTTAAGTTATGTGTGTGGAAAAATCTTTAATAAAAAGCATGCGCGAATTTGAATTAATCAAACTCTAATACTAACACGAAAAAGAAAAACTTAGTATGATAATTAATTAGAGTCCGGAGCCTAAATGGCAAAAAAAATTGTCAAAAACTCCAAAAGGGCACATCACTTTTTATTCTAGCCAAAAGGGCAAAATCGCTGTGTCAGCAGCGATTTTCCTCTGACAAACTGACGAAATAGCAGTGATTTCGTCTAAATTTTTTATTTTTTATTTTAATTAAAAATCGCTGCCACAGCAGCGATTTTGTAAAAAAAAAAATAATAATATTTTTTATTAAAAATCGCTGCCACAGCAGCGATTTTGTTAAATTTTGTTTTTATTATTATTATTAAAAATCGCTGCCATTGTAAAAAAAATATTATTATTTTTTGCTGTGGCAGCGATTTTAAGTCCGATTTTTTTTTTCCCTTACACATCGCTGCAAGGGCAGCGTTTTTCATGCCGAGTGCTATTATTTTCATGCCTATTATTACTTATTAATAATATAAAAATGATAAGCAAGACGACAGTATACTCAATAAAATTGTTGAAGCATGAGGAAAATTGAATTATATATCATAAATAATAATAAAAGAATATTAAATTAAAAAAAAAAACTTTTTTTAAAAATTCCTAACCAAATTCGCTGCTATAGCAGCGATTTTGAAGAAAAAAAGTTATTTTTTTTTTGAGAAAATATGCAGCGATTTTTATTTTTGTTTTGTTAGAAGCCCTTTTGGTTAATTTTTTTTTTTGATGTGCCATTTTAGTTTTTTTAAAGAAAAAGCAGCGATCTTTAATTAAAAAAAATTACAAAATCGCAGCGATTTTTAATTAAAAAAATATTATTTTTTTTTACAAAATCGCTGCTATTTCGTCATTTTGTCAGAGGAAAATCGCTGTTGACGCAGCGATTTTGCCCTTTTGGCTAGAATAAAAAGTGATGTGCCCTTTTGGAATTTTTGACAATTTTTTTTGCCCTTTAGGCTCCGGACTCTAATTAATTATGTGTCATGTTGTTTGGATAAGGTAATAGACATTTGTGAAGAAAGTGTCAAATAAAACTTGTATTTCACTTTGGCAACACAATTTCAGTACGCAACAACGACACACAACTATGCTCTTGTTTGTGAATTTTAATTCAAATGTGATGCATACAATCAAAAGAATAATATTGATCTTTTCAAATTTGTGTCACAATCACAGTGATTAAACGCATAATTTAACGTAGTATATTATATTATATATAATTCTTCCTTCTTGTGAAAGTATAATACAAGTCTATTTTCTCAAGTTTTCTATAGAAAAGTCATATATAGTTTGAATTGTAATATTTTGTGTTGTTTGGGTCTTTTTTCCCTATTCTTCACTTTTCTTTTCTTCATTGTCATTTTCATTAATCAGATTAAATCAGTTGTAGTAGCTAAGATAATTACTTGACGTAATGAGTGTCTTTTATTCATTGTTTATAAGGCCAATCGATAGAAACCTAACTAACACGTAAAAATTATTGGAATAAAATAATTCAAAGAACATGCAGATGAAAAGTAATTAATTGACAAAGTATAGCAACGATCTAAAAATACATGTTTTTCCCTTCTTCAAATGAGTTGATCTTTAATTTTTGCCATTTAGCAAATCAAAATTATGCTTAATAGCCAACCAAATCCAATGATCTGGACTGGATTAGTGGATTATAATGAAAATGGACCTAAGTTTTTCTTGATTTATGGATCAGATATGATGGGACTGGACTTGGATCAACACAAGATTAGCCCAAACCACTTAAATAAAAGGAAGCATTAACTTTAGAATACTCCCGCTTAAACTAAAAATAGCCTATAAATATACAATATACGTATAGTATGTGTATAATTAATTGTTAACATTGATAGACAGATCTTTGTTGTCTGTCTGTAGTACCAAAAACAAATACATGTCTACTTCCATTATAGAGGAAAAACACAACTAATCAGGCAAACAGCAAGTCAAGTTTAAAACATGTTTTCCATAGTACCTTGGCAACGATCAATGTTGTTTGATGTATGATCATGATCATTTCTCCAAAAACTTCTCTGTTTTTCGCCATATTCTGACCAAGGATTTCGCAGAAGAGCAGAAGTTTCTTTGGTGCATAATGGGCATTATAATATCTGTGATCTTCTTTTCTTTAGGAATAATTGCTCTCCTGATATTTCATTTCTACATACAAGGGAGGTCCTTAATAAGGCAGACTGCTGAAAATGGTCTCGTTGTTCGAAGAAGTAGCAGCAATGGAGGAAGTACAAAAATGTCTGATGAAGACTTGAAGAAACTCCCCTGTTTCCTGTACAAGGTTGAAGAAACAGACAGTCACAGAACAGAAGATACCTCGGAATGTGCTGTGTGCTTAGAAAGATTCAAGAGAGGAGAAAACTGCAGATTGCTGACAAATTGCAACCACAGTTTCCATCTCAAACGCATTGATTCATGGTTGATACAGACACCATACTGTCCAATTTGTCGAACAATTGTCCCGAAACAGTCCAGCTAAGTATGCAGAAAAAGATTGGATCTTTAGTTGAGTAGGGTTAATACATCTCCAAAAGAAACCTAAACGACTACCCATTATGTTCATAATGATCACTGAAGTTGCAGCAGGTAATGCAAATACTGATGAAGAGAAATGGGAGGTCGCTAAAACCACACCCAAGGCGGAATTTTGCATGCCCACCTGCAAGGGAAGTACAGAAACTTCAACATCTTGTAGGCAATATATCATTTGGAAACAGATTTGTTGCACAAGGAATAATATTTATCGAAACTAAATTTGAGAATTGGACTGACCATGCTTTTATGGGCTAATTTTTTCACCCTGCTTGAAGGAAGCAAAAGCCTTTCCACCGCGTTTTTTAACCAATTCATAATAATCTGCAAAGATAGAGAAACCATTAAATCCCTTCTTTTATTTTCATTTTCAACAGTTACTAGCCATGAAATCGAGTAATTCTTTGTAGAAAAACTAAGCATTTCAAGGCAGCAGAAGATACAATAGCGTGAGAAAGGGGGGAGCCTAATATAATCTGAGTAATTAATCTAGAGAAACATGGCTATACATTTGAGAAGCCACAAATAACCAGAAAACTAGCAGTTAAACTATTAGAGTAATTTTTACACAAAAGGTGAAACTTACCATCGTAGATGCCAACATGAAGGAAATCGTATCCCACCACTGAATTAACTTCCTCTTCAATTTCTCTTGCTGATTTCAAGAGATTCAAGGAGAAATATAACTCAATTGACTCCAAGGTGCATATATCCGCAAACTCCAGAGGGACTCTATCCAGGTGACACATCAGCTGTAACACTAGGCGACGAAGATTTGGAAAGTTATCACTGCTAGCCTCCCACCGTTTTATGTACACGTTATCAAGTAGCAGGAACTTTAGCTGCTTGAACTGAACATCATCATTTAGTTTCCACACGTCACCATAGAATGAATTGTTATTGAGTTTGAGCACTTCGAGATTGGGCAACTTCGCAATAGTTGCCAAGTCTTCCCAGGGAAGGTGACCATCGAACATGGTCAACCTCTTAAGAGATGTTGGGAAACAACAACAATTTGCCAAGGGTGACGACAGTGAGCACATCCTGAAGGCTGAAACATAGGTAAAGGGATTCAAGTTTATTTAAGCAGACAAGATTGAGTAAGCTCCAGGATGTTTCTATCTTGTTGTCTTTGATGTCTCTTCTGAAATCATCGATCCTCAATTTCTTCAGATTCGTAAGGCGAGATAGTACCTCCTTTGTACAACTAGCAACACAAAGATTGGAAAGCTCCTGTAGATGATGCAGATCAACATCAGATGAGTTATTGCCTTGAGGATTGGGTAAATGAATGTTATGCATAACACGGAGATGCCTCAACTGCTTAAGATTCCAGAATTCTCTGGGAAAAGTTAGAACCTTTAATATTTTATGGGTGTAAAATATAAAGGTTTGAAGGTTGTGCATATATCCGAGGAATTCCGTGAAATCATTGTCACTAGTAACTTCAAGGAATCTCAGGATAGCTGAATCTAATGTCATGTGAGGCGAAAGATAAAGGAAGACTTAGGAATAGCCAACACTCTCAAAGCTTTGAATTTCGAAGTTTTTCCTGTTGGTTCCTTGAAGAGGTACAAGGAACGTACAACTTGTGAGGACATCATAAATTTTTCCAAGGAAATGGAGGGATGCAAACTAAAGTTCGGAGCACTCTGTTCATTTGCTGCTGAAAAATTAGGAACTTCATTATTCGTAATCACATTCAAAAGCTTTTCCTTTTCAGCTTCTCTCACACTCAAATGCCGTAACAGTTCGTGCATACTGCAACTTTTGATCCGACCATCTACCTTCTTCCTTGTAACCATTATTAAATTTCTACTGACAAGATCCTCCAAACATTCCTCAGCCACTTCTTCAGGACCTCTCAACTTGTCACTCTTTAGGAATCCCTCAGCAACCCACAATCTGATCAATGTCCAAGTGTCAATCTCATTACTCTCGGGAAATGTTCCGATATGGAGGAAGCAGGATTTTAGGTGAATAGGCAAGTAGTGGTAACCCATAGCAAGTAATCCTATGCGTCCTTCCGGATCACTTGTAACAACTCTATTAACATTTTTAGCTACTATTTCCCAGGTTTCTTTTGTCATGGGAACTTAGGAGAGATGCCCTGCAACCACCAATATAGCTAGTGACAGTCCTTGGCATTTTCCAACTATTTCCCTACCTATTTCCTCCAATTCTGCAGGACAACCTTGTTCTACACCAAATAACTTCTTGTGAAGTAACTTCCAACTATCATATAAACTCAATGGCATCATTTGGTAAGCATGAACTTCGGAGTTAACATGCATAGCTACACATCCATTCCTTGTAGTCAAAATAATTCGACTACCATTTCTGTCCTCTGGAAGAACTCTTGAAATCACATCCCAAACCTCTGTGCTCCAGACATCATCAATGACAATAAGATATCTCCAATCCTTCAGTGCTTTATATGACTTATCCATTAACTGGTCATTGCTCATTTCTTGAAACTCGTTCCCTGTAATGCAAGATACAAGTTTTAGCAGCACTTGTCTAAATTGAAATTCTTGAGATATTGTAACCCAAGCGTGGATGGAAAAGCGAGATCTAACTGTAGGATCATCCAGAACTTTTCTAGCGAGTGTTGCTTTTCCACTTCCGCCCAGTCCCCATATAGTAATGACTTCCCGCTCAGGAGACGATCCAAGTAGTCGATCAATGATATTGGTCGAGGCATCATCCAAACCCACTGTATCTTCTTGTAGGAGAGCAGTAGAATCACACTTTGGAGACGAAGAATCGAAGACACGCTCCTCAACAGTGGCATCAAAGGTGGAAGTGCTATTTTTAATAACCTTTTTCCTTGCTGCATCAACCTTGTCTATAGCTTGAGGCAATCCCTGAAGTAGAACCCCTGCTTCATCTTGAAATGTCCATTTGGACCGATAAATCTTCCCTTTCTGTCGCTTTCTCATAATCTTAGCAATATTAGAATCAAGAAAATCTGCTGCTTGCTGCACCGCAACTCTCATCTCACCCTCCAAATCTTTGGACATTACAAATTCATTTTTCTGGTGGTGTTTATTAGTACTTTCAAGAATATTTTGAAAATATTCAGCACTAGCACGAAGAGAGTCAATCATCTCTGCAGTTTGACCATGGATCACAGTTGGGTAAGTACTTTGGAATAGCTCCAAAGTTTGAATTAGAGAGTTAACTGCAGGATAGGCAGCCATGATCACTCTCAATACTCAAATCGAGAAATAATGCTTTCAAGATTTACTGTAAACTCTTCTTTTTCTTCTGCAAACTATAAAAAAAAAAACTTATGTTATAGAGTTGGAAGACTTCAAATTTTTCATGTCTGCAAATTCAGGTTCGGAGTAACATTCATGCACTTTGATTAACATCAATAAACAGCGACAAAATTGCGTGCACCCTTGTAAATTTTGTGACGTGAAGAATTTAAAACTTGCACTATCTAGTTTTGGTAGTTGACTTCCATACCCTATTTCTTCTAATAAGTTGCTGGTACTACTCATGAGTCATGACATCAACAAGAACATAAATGGTAAGTTATATCCAAGAACATAAATTGACCAGAAAAGAATGATGTTGCTGGTTTAATCGGGTATAATTTCAGATACTATGTCCTTGATAATTTGATTTTATATGAATGAAGATCAAGAAAACCCAGAATAGAATTTAGAATTAACAGGCAAGCATAAAATGAAAAGGAAAAGATGTAAAGTGCATACCTCAAACAAAGGGAAGAGAAATTGGGAGACTCACCGTGGTGGAAGAAGAGTGTACAGTAAATTTATAAGTCTCCATCAATTTTATTATAAAATAAAGAACATGGGAGACATCAACTGTTATAAAAGGTAACTCGGTAATTATATTTATCTTTTATAATTATATATACATAATATATCTTTTAAGAACAAATAAATATGTTTTTTTCAATAAAAAATTATGGCTAATGGATTAAACTAAGAAAAATAGAGAAAACTAAAACTCAGAAAAACCTTGTATTACAAAAAGTCAACTCTCATTTTTGTCATTCAAGTTGTCAACTGAAAACGTGTTTTGTAGTACCTTGCAAAGATCAATGTTATCTGGTTTATAATCACTGCTCCAAAAAGTTCTCCGTTTTCGCATATTCTGAACAAAGGATTGGGCGAAAGAGCAAAAGTTTCTTTGGTGCATGATGGGAATCATAATATCTGTGATCTTCTTTCCTTCGGGCATAATTATTCTCCTGACAGTTCATTTCTGCATTAGTAGGGAGGTCCTTACTGAGGCAGCCTGCTGAAAATGGCCTGATTGTTCAAGGTAGCAGCAATGGAGGAACAAAAATGCCTGATAAAGACTTGAAGAAACTCCCCTGTTTCCTGTTCAAGGTTGAAAAGAGAGACAGAGACAGAAGAGAAGATACCTCGGAGTGTACAGTGTTTTTAGAGAGATTCAAGACAGGAGATAACTGCAGGTTACTGACAAATTGCAACCACAGTTTCCATGTCAAGTGCATTGATTCATGGTTAGTACAGACACCATATTGTCCAATTTGTCGAACAATTTTCCTGAAAGAATCCTGCTAAGCATATGTGCAGAAAAAGATTGGATTCTTGAGCATATAATCGAATATTTCAGACCAATCAAACTCATTTGCTGCTCCTCTGCAACCTGCTGTCCAGAAATGCACACTCATTTTGAAATTTCTAGCATTCTTCTTCTTTGACTTAGCACGAAATTTTGTTCATTGAACTAAGCTCGCTAGATATAATGTAACTAGTGGATCATACCAAAGGTAGCTCTACCTACACCCTTCACACACTGTCTCTACTCAATTGTGTAATTTTGTGCATTATACATAGCCTTCACTTCTACGGGAGACCATTGCGTCCACCATTTGACCATGAGATTAGGGGTTCAAGTGATGGAAACAACCTCTTGCATAAATGCAAGGTAAGGCTGGATACAACGGCCTCAAATATGGTCTGGCCTTCCCTAGACCCATGCATGGTGAGAGCTTTGTACATCAGACTGCCTTTTAAACATGCTTTCACCTTCTTTGGGTACTTCCCTTATAACCTCTCCCTCCCTGACAAAAGAATCTTCAAGGATTGGAGAAGAACTGGAATTCAGTTGCCAAAATAAAAAGCAAAGTTAGGGAGAATATGTGGATTATGGAAGTTCAAATGTGAATTCCTAGGCCCTTTATGAAGGTTCCATAATTGCAGACCTTAGTTAGATGAGTCTCAAAAGTGAACCCAGAGAATGGTGAAAACAAAATTTTATTGATGAGTGTACAAAGGGAAGTAAAAGAACACAATGGTTCAACATGAACATTCAAGATTTATCAGTCACTTCAAGACTACTTTTTGGTTGAGTAGGGTTAATACATCTCCAAAAGAAACCTAAACAACTACCCATTATGTTCATAATGATAGCTGAAGTTGCAGCAGGTAATGCAACTGCTGGTGAAGAGAAATGGGAGGTCGCTAAAACCACTCCTAAGGCAGAATTCTGCATGCCCACCTGCAAGGGAAGTACAGAAACTTTAACATCATTGGCTGCATATATCAGTGGGAAGAAGCTCCATTTGGCTGCGAGTAACAACTTGGTTCAAGATGATATACATTTCATAAGATTTTTTATACAAGGAATGATAATTATATAAACCATTTTCCTGAATTCAGTTGAAATTGTACAAGGTTGTGGAGGGAAATGGAATAGGGAGGCAATCTTCCTTTTCATTGAGTAAAGTATTTTTGCAACAAAAATCAGTTCTTCACTTTAGAAATCAGAACTAACAAAAGTGGAAATCATATCCGGGAATATATTGGTTTCAACCACGAGAAATATGTGCCATTGAGAAGTGATCAAAGAAAAAGTTTCAGGCTACTAAGAACAAAATTAGAACTTGTTACCAATATGATCTTTGATTCTTTTCCATGCTTGACAATAATTTACCGAAGTAGTAAGTGTGGAAGTCTTACTCCCGTCAAGAATGTACCTCGATGGATACAGCTCGTCTTTGAGGTTCGCTAAAACCGGCCAAAGCAGCAGAAAGATACCTGATGAAGATTTCATCATATGACATAATCGCATGGTGCTAAATTTGGCCAATAGACTGGAACAAAGAAACAATAATCTTACCCAACAAAGAAACCAGCAAAATGAAGCAATGAGACAGACACCGCAACGAGTCCAAATTCGCTAGCTAGCACATTCTGAGCACGACTGATTAGAGGCAAATCAGAAGAGAATGACATACCAACCACGGAAGATCTTAGGCGACCAACATTTTCAGAGAATATACTGAGCAGAAAAAGAACAAAAAAGATAATATGAGAAAGGGATCAAACAGGAAAAGGCAGTTGAGGAAACAATCAAACTAAAATGGTTTAGGATCAACAATTAAACCTGGCAGAAACAAGAGATGTTGCTAAGACTGCGAGAAGGGGAGCAATAGGTGCAATTTTTTTTACAGCTTTTGGAAATTTGTGCTGCATATAAGAACCCAAGAGAATTGGAGCAACCACAACCTAAAAAAGAAGCAACAAAAGAAAAAAAAAATTACTAAACCAGTAAACATATATAGATAATACGATGAGTCAAAACTCAAACATCATTATATTACACATAATAATTGTGAAATAACATAACCTGGAGCGTGCTGATAGAAAGCTTAACAGCATCCACAGGAACATAAGTTCCTGCCAGAATTGTTGTCAAGAAGGGAGTCAGGACCACTGCACCAATTGTAGTGCATGCTGTCATCACTATTGATAATGGGACATCTCCTTGTGCAATTAAGGTTACCTGTAAAACAATTAGAAAGCAAAAAGAGGCTTTGCATTGAGCTTTATGCTATAAGGCCATATATATTCACAATGTCAAGAAGCTGATATCCGAGTACAAGAGAGTGCATTCAATAAAAGCAGATATTTCATTAAAATCTTTTGTTCCAATCAGAAGAAAGAAACTGGCAGACAGGAAATATTGCAACAGAAGTGGACTTCTAGTCGGATGTGAAGGATACACCGAATTAACCAACTTTGAATGCTTGCTAAAAGCCTTGGCGAAAGTGAGAATTACACCTTTCTGTAAAGCACGATAATTGTATGATTCACCCAAATTACTTGCATTCCTCAATAATGAAAAGGAGGACAAAGTCTTTGTAAAGGATGGCTTCCAACATACAACTATTTTCTCTTCGCAACACCATACCTTTCTGATTTATTCTCCTCTCTGGGCTTGTCAATTTGAATTTGAAATGTGACAATGAAGACCATAAATAACATGGCATGGATCCTAAAAACACCAAAAGGAATTTCAACTAAAATTCAGTGGAGATACCACAAGAAAAGCAAACCTGCTGTGGATTCATCACATTGTTGAAATAAGATGCAAAGATTGAACATCTACAATCTTAACATGTCAATATGGGAGTTAAACCTGATTAACTAGCTCCGTTAAGAAGAACAATATAGAAGAAAGTCACCTTACCACATTAGAAGCAGTACCTCCAGGGCAACACGCAAGCAATATCAGACCAACTGAAATTGAAGGAGGCAGACCCAAGATTTTGCTGAGAATCATTCCCAAGGCAGGCATAATAGTATATTGAGCAGCACAACCAAACAGAATCTAGAAAGATGAAGGAAAACCAAAGATTTTGGCCTATATGAGTTTACCCTGTATGCAAATATATTATCTGATCAAAGTTTAAGTAACTAAGTTAAAGTACTTGCTCTCTTCATCAAATCAAGCAGTCACCATGTCCTTGAACCAAATGTTTGGACCAAGTGGACACATATACATTCTTTCTTTGAAAGCTTAGATTGAATGTTATAGCATGCGAATATTATATTTGTAGCTCAAATGTGGGACCAAGTTTATATATCTATGCTTCTTTTCTGTAGATATATCTATATTTCTTTCTTGTCAAAGCTTAAATTGAATGTTTCAAATGCGAGTGCTACATATTTGTAGTCATAGGTTCAAAATGAGGGGGAAAAGGTAATCACATTAGCAGTGAACAACACCTTCCTATTAATTGAATTTCCAGAAGAGCTAATGAAGTTGGCAACGGAAGATTAGGTAACATTTCTTGTGGCAAGATTAGAGAAGAACAACGATATGTCAGCAATTAGCATCATTAAGTACATATTATGTCCTGGCCCATAAAAACATTCAGAAAGAAAATGCAATATTTTTTACTTTAACTTTCATCAAAAAAAAAAAAAAAAATGCAATATTTTTGGGAGTTAAATTCTGTTATATTTACAATTGGTAAGCAAAATAAAAACCAGGGCAAGGAAATTGTGGCCATCATTCAAGAAGTGGTCTACTCCCTCTCTCGCATGACATGTTTAAAACCACAAGATTAAAAGACATTTTGGTACACTCTACACATCGTAGTTGAAGATCACAAGATTCAAATGTATTTCTTTATTTTCTTGAACATTGTGTCAAGTCAAAACCAACCAAACAAATCAAGATGATAAGAATTCGCAAAATTCACTAACCAAGTTCAAGAACCAAAAGAAAGTAAAAGGAAATCATACTCTAAAACAAATCAAACCAATGACAAGGGGTGCAATTTTTTTAAAATAGAGTGTACTCACAGAAAGAGGCCTTTGCAATATAACAAGTTTGTTAACTCTTTGATCTCCAATGTAAGACCCATAGCAAGCATTATAAACCAAAGAGTCAAACTATAGGAAGTAGGACTACACTTGACAAACCATGAAAAAGTTGAGGGCTTTAAACAAGCAACAACCCCACCAACAGTTATATAAACAGGATAAAGACTTTCAGCAATTGACAACCAATTTGCCCATCTGGGTTTTTCTTGAATCACAGAAAAATTCTGAGAATTTTCAGGAACACATTTTACTTTCTTGAAATTCGGATTTAAAATTTTTGGGGTTGTTAAAGTGATAATGGGGTTGATGGGTTTATAAAGGGGGATTCTTGAATAGTGTTTTGGGGTTGTTGCAGTGAGGGGAGAGAAGCAAAGAGATATCGCCATAGCTGAGTTGGAAGAAGAAAAGTTTCAAGCTTTCTTGAATCAATAGGGATTCATTCTTGATTCTTGGAATGAAACTTTATAGTAACTAAAGGATTATGCTACCTCGTATTTAGGTGATCTATTTATAAAGTATACTTATTTTTTAAATTTTAAATCTTTTGTTTATGTTTAGTTTTTACGGTATATAACTTTTAATTTAGAATTTTAAAAAAAATTATGCTCGAATTAACATTAAAAATTAAATACTGCAATTTTTTTATCATCAACTTTGAACCTTTTCATATAAAAGAAATGGACATTTACTTGTTCACAATAAAAAAATATTTTTTCTTTAATAATAAATTAAGTACATTTATATTTATCATAATATTTATGAAAAAATTTATTATGATTGAGGCATACTAACTCATACTTGCGTGAGGGTATTTTTATATTAATTTTAATGTGATATATAGGATCTACAACGTCAACCATAATTTTCCTCAACCATTTTTTTTGCTCTTTCCTCCCTTTTCTCTTTCATGTTTTGTTTCATTTTCAATCTTTTTAGTATCTATTTTTAAACCAATTTTATTACTACCTCGTTTCTATTTTTGCTTACCATAAAAATAAAATTTCCTTTTGACTTATATATTTTTCAAACAAAAAATAAATATTGTTTTTTAATATTATTTTATCACTTAAAAAATGCATAAGATATTAATAGTCAAACTTGATATTTTAAAACATATTTAATAAGACAAGTTTAATAAAATAAACCTCTAATAAAATACAAGTGAATTTATATATAAAAATAATAGTGGAACACATATTATTAAATTATATATTCAATATTTAAATATTATTGACAGAAAAGATTTTAAATAATGTCATACAAATATATATATATATATTTATTTATTTTATTTTATTTTATTTTATTTTAAATGAGATAGACAAAATAGTGGAGAAGATTATACATATAAGTATATGAAAATTGAACCTTTACCAATAACATAAAAATTCAAATAACCAATCAATTAAAATATTAAAAAAAATCCATATTGCAAATAATAGATAATCACTTATGTAATTTTTTTTTAAAACATTCAGTAAAATGGGAAAAACAAAATATGTTGGAAGAGGAATAAAGAACAAAAAAAAACTAATGGCAAATGAATGAATCAAGAAAGAAGAAGAAAAAGACAATTAAGTCAAGTGTCAGAAAGTACAATGAGTCTTTGACAATTTGACAAGCGGCCCCCAAAATTGTCCATTTGTCAATCACACAAAGCCTCACACAAGTATGAATTTGGTATACCTCAATGAACAAGGAGAGTAGATTGTTAGGTTATTTCTATCATCAATGTAAATATGATTCATTTCAATTGAGTATTAAAATATGTTATTATATTGACTTATTTTATTAAGTTGAGTATTTTTCAGTCTCTAATTACTTGTCTATCTTTTAAGAATGTTCTACTCTCCTCTTATCGTTTTAGTTGTTTAAAAAAGAATGTCTCATTTCTTTTTTGAAACTCTCCACAAGATTAAAACACATTTTGATACATTTTACATATCAAGAGTTTAAGATCACAAAAATCAATTTTTTTTATTTATTTTCTGTAAATCATAACCAAACAAACAAATTGAAACTCAGAGAAAGTAGAGAGTATGGGTTCAGTCAAGATTGAAAGAAATCCCCAAATTCACTACTAAATCAACAACCAAAAGAAAGTAAGACGAAAATCACAGTCTACAACAAAATCAAACAAGTGAGTAATCAAAAAAACTAAAAAATAGAGTGTAGACTCACAGAAAGAGGCTTTTGTAATAACAAGTTAGTTAACTCTTTGATCTCCAATGTAAGACCCATAGCAAGCATTATAAACCAAAGACCCAAACTATAGGAAGTAGGACTACACTTGACAAACCATGAAAAAGTTGAGGGCTTTAAGCAGGCAACAACCCCACCAACGGTTACATAAACAGGATAAAGACTTTCTGCAATTGACACCCAGTTTTCCCATCTGGGTTTTTCTTGAATCACAGAAAGATTCTGAGAATTTTCAGGAACACAATTTACTTTCTTGAAATTGGGATTTAAAATCTTTGGAGTTGTTAAAGTGGTAATGGGGTTGATGGGTTTATAAAGGGGGATTCTTGAATAGTGTTTTGGGGTTGAAGTGAGAGGAGAGAAGCAAAGAGATATGGCCATAGCTGAATTGGAAGAAGAAAAGCTTCAAGCCTTTCTTGAATTTGGGAAGTTGACTCTCAATAGGGGGATTGTTCATTCTTGACATGGAACTTTACAGTACAAAAATAAAAAAAACATATAAAAATTATTTGTTTTAAATCTTTTGTTTGTGTCATTGTGTATACTTTTATAGTATGCAAATTTTAAAAAAAATTATGCGTGAATTAACATTAGAAAAAACACTGTAATCTTTTGATCCTCCAACTTAGAACCTCCTTTAAACACGCCGTAAAATCTTACTAAATTAATATACATTGAATCATGAGTTTAATTATTTTATAGAAATATTATTTATTCGATGTTTATCAATTTAAAAAAGTGTTTTGAGATTTAATAAAGGTTAATATCTTATTAATTTATGTATCATATTTATGTGAATTCACATAAAAAAAAATATTATACATAAAGTACAATAAATACCTCAAAATTTGTATCATATTTATTGGTTAATATGCAATCATCTGACAATTAAATATTTGGCTAAAAGCGGATTAACTTAATTTGAATTGAGCGATTTTTAGTTAGGACCGTTTTAAAGGGGAGCAAAGGGGAATATTTAGGTATTACCCAAGTGAGCTATCTTGCAAAATTAATTTATTTTTTAGGCCTCATTAAAGGTGATTGATTTAGTTAAGTTATAAAATTAAAACGGGTATCTTTTGGGGATTTGAATTTTAAAACCTTAAGATTTAGTAGCAAATATTGACAAGTAAATAAATACTATAAAATAAAGAGGAAAAGAGACTTGGGCCCAAATCTGATTTTCCTGTCTGCCTGGGTCAGTATTTGGGCCCATTTTTGTTTTGGGCCTTTGGCCCGTTTGAGTCATCTGCACATGTCCTAAACTAACATAAAATTTAGGGAAAATTAGCAATTAAGTCACAATACCTAACATAATTAGTCAAAATAACAACACATTAAAATATTTATTTAAAATGTCAGAATGACAATATTTTAGAAAATAATATGTATTCAGATTTTAGTATTTAAAATTAATTTTATTTATGAAAACAGTCCTATATTGGACCAAATTCTAAATCAATAACCGTTTTTAAAAAAAAATAAAAATCAATACCCATTAACCTTCCTTTTTCACCTTCGCTTTTCTAACCCCGTCTTTCACATTTCTATCCCTTTTTTGACGTTTTCAAATTCTCTTTCTTCAAGGTGCTGACAAATTGTTCAGCAAAATATATATTTTAATTCAAGAAATTTTCTCGATTGTTAAACGAAATCTCTTTATTAATTCAAGAGATTTCTTGATTGGCAAGGTAATTTCCATTATTCATTTAGATTTATTTTGATTTGCTGTTTAAAATCACCGATTATGGTGTATAATACAACTTATTATATGTATTATGTATTCACCGAAAAGGTATTTCAATAACATTTTAATTTACAACTAATTTGTATTTATATTTTTTGAATACAACTTATTATATGTATTATGTATTCACCAAAACTGTATTTTCAATAACAACTTAATTTACAACTAATTTGTATTTATATATTATATATATTTCAAAACTGTTTTTTTTTTTGCGTATTTGAACTATAATGCCAAAATATATTGTATTCATTATTAATCTATACCAATAGTTTTTGTATTTTAAAATTGTACATATTCTAAGTAGTTCAAACAAGTTAATTTCCAAAACAGAGGGCATTAGAAATTGAAAAACAATTCCACTCTATAAGATATCAATTACAAGCACAACTAACTAAACAATAAATACAACTTATTATATGTATTATGTATTCACCAAAATTGTATTTTCAATAACAACTTAATTTACAATTAATTTGTATTTATATATTATATAGATTTCAAAGTAGTATTTTTTTGTGTAATTGAACTATAATGTCAAAAGAGTTGTATTCATTATTAATCTGTACCAACGTTTTTTTATATCTGATTATGTAAACCTTAGTTTATGTCGAACTATCGTGAATTCCGTTGAATTGTATACTTTGTAGTAGTGAATTTTCTAAACCTTAGTTTCAAACATATGTCGAATACAAAGCGAAGAAGATTGGATGAGATCAGTGTAATGATTCGTATGGAAAAATATTGTTTTCAAAAACTGGAATTTTTAAGCAACAGAGGAAAAAAAACGTTCGGCCAAATAGTGGCGACATATGCTCCTTCAATATGTAACTGATTTTAAATTTAAATTGTTTTTAATTTTTCTTAAATATTTTGTCTCATGATTTTCTATTGTTTAATATTTGTATTCTTTCATATTAATCAAAAAAAATAAAAATACATAAATCAGAACTTAACAAACTAAAATATTGACATTTTAAATAAATAACGAAACTATTGCTAAGGGGTCCCATAAGAAGCTAAAATATTGCTATTTTGAAAAATTCCCCTAAAATTTATTTATTTGGGCATTAAGCCCATCTTCCACCTGTTCTAAATTCTAACAAGATAATAATGAATAAAATGACAAGGGCATAAGCCCAAAATAACAAAAATACATCTTTTGGAGGCCTTTGGGCCCACTTCTTGATTTTCGTATACACTATACAATCTCAAATCTGGTCCAAACACCTGTTTGTCAACGTGAAAGACCTGTTTTTCAATTTCTCAAGGTTGGATGACTCGATAAAAGAATTTTGGGCCTTTATGATCCATCCGAAATATGAAGTGGAGAAAGATGGAGTCCAAGAGAACTCGAATGGGTGTCACATATAAAAGAAAAAAACTCACATAAGAATCTTATTCATCCAAATAATTAAGAAACATATAATGACATTTTCAAAGTGATAAATTAAAACGTATCCTACTGTATGGAAATAAGGAGGACTTGTATGTAGACAAGGCATATTTAATGATAATGAAAGACTACTTATACATTACAAATAACTCAGAAGGGAGTGTGAGATGGAAAAATACAACTAGATTAGTGAACAAGATCTATGTGGCAGTGACCACATTATGCAAATCGGTATCAACCAACATATTATTAACAACTAAGGACATGTTTACAAGTGCATTGGAACACCAAACAATAATTTAAGCCAAAGCTAATAAGTAACCTCAATAATATCTATTTTTATGCATCAGTAGCTAGCCAATAAATAAACATACAAAACTCGGAGATTTACCTGCGTAATGAGAGAACCAAACTAGATTCGAGTATTAATATCCTACCAAAGATTTTAGAGGTAAAATCAAAGGAAGCATTATATGCGAAGAGATAATTTCATTTAACTATTTAATGACTCTAAGTTAAGCCACCTAAAAAGGGGAATACTTATGGCTTTACTAAAATAACAAACATGAACTAATGAAATACATCAATCATGGATATGCTAAAAAGATAAGACAAAACTCATTTTTTATGCAATAAAACTACTACTCTGTTAGATCTAATCACAAGAGAGCTCAAAGTTTCCTAAACATGATAACTAAGAGCTATAAATGGCAAAAGGTGCATTCCTCAATGTGACAACTAATCAAAGAGCAGTCTCAGAATAACCAACAAATCGTACTAGACTACTGGATTCAACATAAATGAGGAAAATTTATTCTCAAAATATACCAAGATAAAAATGTAACATACATAGCAAGATCAAAGTGAAACAAAATGCACCTGCTGCTATGAACACTCTAATAGACCAAAACATTACCAATATTGTGTTTTTAATTATCAGTTTCGGAAACTAAATCCTCACCAAGCACATCACATTCAATATCGAGATAAAAAAAATACAACAATGAGTATCGATTCACACAAACCATAACAATCCAACTATAAGCTAGGAAACTAAGCAACAAATCAGAGTGGAAAGAAATTACTTCTTCGGAGCAGCAATTTGAGACAAAAAACGAGCAAGGAAAACAACGACTTCACCATCGTAATACTACTCCAAGGACCAAAGCCGAAACAAGCAAGAACAAGCACTACACAAGAATTTGGATTATGGTCTTTAACGCTAAAAAATTCGTATGTAACAGATAGCTGGATATATTCAGTGAGTTTTCTTCTTTTAGGCTAACTCCCACTCCAAAATTCAAAATTCTTTCACCATTAAAGGAGGACATACTTTTCTGAAATTTTTGCCTCATTCCGAAAGAGGAAAGAGGAGAAAATGCATGCCTCTGCTGCTATTGTGATTGTACAAATTGAAAGGGACATGAGGAGAAGACAATAAGAGGCAGTGTACTGCCTCCTGCGCTGCTTTTACGTGTATTGACGCCGTGAGTTGCGAGCTGCTGCTGCTATGATCGTGAAAGTTGGAGAGAATTGGAGTTGGGCGACGTTTGGAACTTGACGTTGTTGTTTTTCACGTTTGGAACGTTCTGGGTTCCTTTTGTGGGTAAGAAATTGGGTCGGGTCGGGTGATTGGAGTGGGTTTATGTATGGATAATGGGCTGTTTTGGTATGTTGTATGTATTATTGTTGCTGGAATTGTTGGATCGTGGTTTTGGGCTGGAAAATTATTGGGGTGGGTTGGGTCTGTTTATTGTTAAATTTGGATTAGAGGAGTTGGGTTCAAAATTGGGTAGAACAAAATGGCTAAATAGATTACAATTATGGCCATATAAAATTTAAAACATAACCGAACTGAGTTGATTTAGTGAATCCGGCTAGAATTTAAACACAATGAGTTAAGATTAATTAATTAACGAGCTTCTTAATCTTAACGAAATAAAATAATTAACTTAATTATAAACTAGTTATTTCAAGAATATAAATTATTATATAACTAAACTAATTAACCAAATATTTAATTAAAATTAAAATCTTTTTGAGACGATTTTCGAATATTCATAAAATGTACTAATTAATACATACATAATTATGTAAAACCTACATATTATTCAATTTTTTTTTATAAAAATGATAAAATTACTTTAACTAACTTGGAAAAAGTATTTTGAATTTTATAAAGTCAATTATTTCAACTCGTTTGGAATTTAAGAAGCTCGATGATTAATTTATATTGTGGAGGTCCAAAATTGGGTGTCAACAAAAATCTTTAATAGGAAGCATGCGCGAATCTAAATTAATCAAACTCTAAAACTAACACGAAAAAAAAAACTTAGTATGATAATTAATTATGTGTCATGTTGTTTGGATAAGGTAATAGACATTTGTGAAGAAAGTGTCAATAAAACTTGTATTTCACTTTGGCAACACAATTTCAGTACGCAACAACGACACACAACTATGCTCTTGTTTGTGAATTTTAATTCAAATGTGATGCATACAATCAAAAGAATAATATTGATCTTTTCAAATTTGTGTCACAATCACACAGTGATTAAACCGCATAATTTAACGTAGTATATTATATTATATATAAATCTTCCTTCTTGTGAAAGTATAATACAAGTCTATTTTCTCGAGTTTTCTATAGAAAAGTCATATATAGTTTGAATTGTAATATTTTGTGTTGTTTGGGTCTTTTTTCCCTATTCTTCACTTCATTGTCATTTTCATTAATCAGATTAAATCAGATCTAGTAGCTAAGATAATTACTTGAGGTAATGAGTGTCTTTTATTCATTGTTTATAAGGCAATCGATAGAAACCTAGCCAACACGTAAAAATTATTGGAATTAAACAATTCAAAGAACACGCAGATGAGAAGTAATTAATTGACAAAGTATAGCAACGATCTAAAAATACATGTTTTTCCCTACTTCAAATGAGTTGATCTTTAATTTTTGCCATTTAGCAAATCAAAATTATGCTTAATAGCCATCCAAATCCAATGATCTGGACTGGATTAGTGGATTATAATGAAAATGGACCTAAGTTTTGCTTGATTTATGGATCAGATATGATGGGACTGGACTTGGATCAACACAAGATTAGCCCAAACCACTTAAATAAAAGGAAGCATTAACTTTAGAATACTCCCGCTTAAACTAAAAATAGCCTATAAATATACAATATACGTATAGTATGTGTATAACTAATTGTTAACATTGATAGACAGATCATTAAGATATTTAGTAGTTGGAAAATCATTGGCATAATTCTCAGAGTTAAAACTAGAGAACAATGTCCTAGAAAAAGATGTTCAATAAGAAATACAGTACAATTTTACCCTTTTGGACATCAATCAATCAAAACCTAGCCCTTGTTTAATTTGTTTCACATAGAGCTAGGAGCCAACTTTTTTTTTTCCCTTCAAATTATCATTTCCACTCTGATCATTTTTTAATTTTTTTTGGGACCATTTCTCTGTTATCCTTGTGCAAGAGTCGTGTTAATCTTCTCTGTATTGTTCCCAATTTCCACTTTGATCATGATCACATGCAGGAGAGGCATATGGTTGTTTACTTATAATCCTGAAATCAACAACTAATCAATTACTAATTAATACCAAAGAGAATTAATTGAACATGCATTATTTTAAAAGCTAGAAATTAATTCACCTGTCATGACGTTTCTCAAAGAATCTCTTGAGGGATTTCCTTCTTGCAATTGGCAAGTCTAAAGTAGAAAACAACATAATCCACCAAAATTTCAGATAATCAACCAATGTAGTCGAATGAATAAGTTTCTACTTTTATTCAAAGAGCTCAGGTTTATTTTTATTTTTTCCTTTTAATATGTCTAACACAACGTGAATTCAAACCTGCTTGAAACTTGTAGACATGATGTGGAGCTTGGGATTTCTGAGTTGGTTTAATTTCCTTTGCATTACAGTTTTCACGAGCCAGAATCATAATTGACTCTGCCTATAAGGAAAATTTTCAAAACTAACAAATATAAGTAAAAATAGCTCAAAAAAAGGTACAATTTTTGCAACTTCTTATATTTGTAGATACCTTTTGAACGGAAATATTGTCATAAACGTGCACAACTCCAGCATAGAATATAGTTAACTGTTCTGATTCAGACTTGTCCCTTTGTGAAACAAGAGCCGTCGTATCATCATGCCTATATATATTTGAGAAATACCAAAGGAATTAATTAAAATGCAAACACAATTAGTATCGCAATCTGATCGATAATTAATTACGTTTGATTAAATATGAAGTAAGTATTGATTAAGTGACTTACCCGAGTTGTGGTAAAATAGCCAACTCTAGATTAGACATCCTTCTTTGACCAACAATATTGTGTACATATTTGTTCAATAAATCATGAGCTAATTCATCTGTAGAGTTATTCATCGAACATGAAATGCTAAACTTTTTTTTGGACTATTTAATTAATCTTCAACAATCTAAATTCTTTACGAGTTTGGTGCTGCACTATATATATATTTTATTTGCATCGTCCGTGCCAGATAGATGAATAAACTATATATATATATATATATATATATATATATATATATATATATATATATATATATATTGTATACTGAGATAAATACCTCATTTAAGTATTGGTCTGTGCAAAGTGGATAGAATTAAGTAGTAAAATAGTGTAAAATTAAAATAATGTATGTGGGGGTTGGAGAAATTATTGGAAATAACGCCAAAAATAATATATTGAAGTAGTTATGGGTGTGCAGGCATCTCGATGAATTCGAAATTGAAAACGTTTTTCACAACAACTCCCTTCTCAGATAATTGGAAGCTGGCAGATCATATATATATAACAATTAATTAAATATTTGTTCTACTTTTTGGACATATTCTAATTACAAAATTGTCACCCAGGAGATCCGTTTCTCTTCACGACAAGACAATAATATATACCAGTCGTGGAAGAGCCAAATTTTTTACTATCAAAATATGAACAAGTAAATACAAGAAAAAGTTGAAGAAAATTTAATATCTATTATATATACATAAAAATCAATTTTAATCATATATAAACAATGCAATTTTCTATCGAATGGGGTTCGAATAAATCCCCTTAATCCTTACTAACTCCGCCATGTTGATCAAAAGCATTAAATTCTCTTCTAATACCGGGAAATTATACGGAATGACCTTAAAAATGTGTAGTTCTGAGTTTTTTGACCCTCCCACGGACGAACCTTCAAGGTCAAAAGTGTTGTCCATGAAGTAAAACTTATTAAACGTGAAGTTTTGTGTATGGGGCGAGTGGACTAAGCCCATTTTAGGGGTTGATGTGTCCAGGGCGGCTCAACATAATTCGAGGCCTAAAGCAAAATTTTAATTAGAGTATTTGTATTTATTTATTTTTCTAAATTTTTAGATGTAAATTATTACTTAATATCTTTTTTATAAATGATTTTTTCAAATATTTTTTTAAATTATTATTTTTAAGCAAAATTTTATAAATTCAACATTGAAAAACATCATTATTGAGACAACTATTATATGAATCGATAATATAGTTCTATAAGTAATAAGTTGATAAATTTTAAATAAAGATAAGAATTAGAATCATAGAATCTGATTCAAAAAGTTGATAACTTGGTATACCCTACTTTAATATGAAAAGTTACGAAGAAATAAAAGAATATTTGTAATTTACTTTGTTCAACATTTTTCGGCTATTGATTCATATTTTTGACAGAATATTACTCTGACTATCAAAGATTTGAAAAAATAGAGTGCAGAAGGAGTTAAAAAGGATAAATAATGTGAGTGTAAGCGAAGAAAATATATATATAAATGTACTTTTTATTATAAATAATTAATTTTTTTCATGAAAAAATTAAACATGATTTTTTATTTATAAAAATTTGAAGCCCCCAATAAGGCATTTGGCCTAAAAATTTATAGGCAAGAGCCGGCACTGGATGTGTCCCAACAGAAATCTAAAAAACTTATAGCCCACATTGTGTTTGATAAAACTAACTATTGGTGTTTATTTAAGTAGAATCTTGCAACCACGTCGTAAGCATAACTTGTCTCATGAAAACATTGCTAAGCTGTATATGTTGTGCTTAAGTTTTGACAAATTAGTAGTAATAATTTTATTCCTTCATAATGGATTAACCTTCTCTTATTGTCTGTCTGTAGCACCAAAAACAAATACATGTCTAGCTACTTCCATTATAGAGGAAAAACACAACTAATCAGGAAAACTTAAAACATGTTCCATAATACCTTTGCAACGATCAATGTTGTTTGATGTATGATCATTTCTCCAAAAACTTCTCTGTTTTGCGCGGAAGAGCAGAAGTTTCATTGGTGCATAATGGACATTATAATATCTGTGATCTTCGTTTCTTTGGGAATAATTCCTTAATAAGGCAAACTGCTGAAAATGGTGTGATTGTTTGAAGAAGTAGCAGCAATGGAGGAAGTACAAAAATGTCTGATGAAGACTTGAAGAAACTCCCCTGTTTCCTGTACAAGGTTGAAGAAACAGACAGCAGAACAGAAAATACCTCGGAATGTGCTGTGTGCTTAGAAAGATTCAAGACAGGAGAAAACTGCAGATTGCTGACAAATTGCAATCACAGTTTCCATGCCAAATGCATTGATTCATGGATGATACAGGCACCATATTGTCCAATTTGTCGAACAATTGCCCTGAAACAGTCCTGCTAAGCATATATGTGGAAAAGGAATGGATTCTTTAGCATATAATGCACACTCATTTTGACATTTTTAGCATTCTTCTTCTTTGACTTAGCACCAAATTACGTTTCATTGAATTAAGCTCACTAGATAAAATGTAACTAGTGGATCGTACTTGATGGAAGTAACAGTAGCTCTACCTATACCTTCACAAACTGTTCCTACTCTATTGTGTATTAGACATACTTTCACTTCTAGGGGAGTTCTGATGCAACGGACCATGAGGTTAGGGGTTCAAGTCATTGAAACAACCTCTTGCATAAATGCAAGGTAAGACTGGATACAATAGCCTCAATATCGTGTGGCCTTTCCTAGACCAATGAATAGCTAGGGTGCAACATATAAACAGCTTTGTTAAGTTCAAAAGTGAACTCCTAGGCGTTTTATGAAGGTCTTATAATTACATACCTTAGTTATAAAGCCATAGTAAGATCAGCAACAAAGATTCGTCCAGCAAGCAATTGGTGAGTTTTCAACGTCGCTTGGGCCTCATAAGCTAACTCAGAGAATGGTGAAAACAAATTTTATTGATAGGTGTACACATGGAAAGAAAAAGAACACTATGGTTCAACATTGATATTCAAGATTTATCAGTCACTTCAAGACTACTTTTTGGTTGAGTAGGGTTAATACATTTCCAAAAGAAACCTAAACAACTACCCATTATGTTCATAATGATAACTGAAGTTGCAGCAGGTAATGCAACTCCTGGTGAAGAGAAATGGGAGGTCGCTAAAACCACACCCAAGGTGCAATTTTGCATGCCCACCTGCAAGAAGTACAGAAACTTTAACATCATTGGCTGCCTATATCAATGGGAAGAACAAGGACAGAGAAGGAGAAGCCATTTTTCTGTTTAAGGCTCCATTTGGCTGGAACTAGTAACTAGTTCAAGATGAAATACATTTCATAAGATTTGTTGTACAGAGAAAGATTATTCAAACCATTTTCCTGAATTTAGTTGAAATTGTACAAGGTTGTGGAAGGAAATGGTATAGGGAGGCAATCTTCCATTCCGTTGAGTAAAATATTTTTGCAACAAAAATAAGTTCTTAACTTAAGAAATTAAAACTAACAAAAGTGGAAATCATATCCGGGAAGATATTGGTTTCATCCATGAGAAATATATGTCGTTTAAACAGACCACTGATTAAAAAGGTCTCGGGCTACTAAGAACAAATAGGAACTTGTAACCAATGTGATCTTTTCCATGCTTGACAAGAATTTACCAAAGTAGTAAGTGCGGGGAGTCTTACTCCCGTCAAGAATGTACCTCGATGGATACAGCTCGTCTTTGAGGCTCGCTAAAACCAGCCAAAGCAGCAGACAGATACCTGATGAAGATCTCAACATAATCGCATGATTGCTAAATCTGGTCAACAGATTGAAACAATGAAACAAAGATAATCTTACCCAACAAAGAAACCAGCAAAATGAAGCAATGCAACAGACACCGCAACGAGTCCAAATTCGCTAGCTAGCACATTCTGAGCACGACTGAGTAGAGGCAAATCAGAAGAGAATGACATGCCAACCACGGAAGATCTTAGACGACCAACATTTTCAGAGAATACACTGAACAGAAAAAGGGAAAAAATTAGTGTAAGAAAGGGATGAAACAGGAAAGGGAAGTTGAGAAAACAATCAATCGAAAATGATTTAGGACCAACAATTGAACCTGGCAGAAACAAGAGATATAGCTAAGACTGCAAGAAGGGGAGCAAAAGGTGTAATTTTTTTCACAGCTTTCGGAAATTTGTGCTGCAAATAAGAACCCAGTAGAATTGGAGCAACC